TCACTGGTTACCACACATACACACACTGAATACCACTCACTGGTTACCACACATACACACACTGAATACCACTCACTGGTTACCACACAAAGACTGTATATCACTCACTGGATACCACACAAGGACTGTATACCACTAACTGGATACCACACACAGACTGTATACCACTAATTGTATATCTCAACACACACACACACACTGTATATCATACACGCTATATATCACACACACACTATATACCAGACAGACTATATACCACTCACTATCATACCCACACTCGGTATACCACACACACTGCATATCACACACATTGTATACAACACACACTACATGCCACACTGTATGCCACACACAATGTACATGTCACACACACACACACACACACACACACACACACACACGCACACACTGTATAAGACACACTGTATATATCATACACTGTAAATTTCCACATACACAGTGTACCACACACACACACACACTGAATACCACACACAAACACACACTGTATACCATACACACACACGCTACATACCACACTGTAAACCACACACACTGTGTATCTTGCTCATATACATAGTGTAATGCACACACACACTGTATACCACATGCACACTGTATATCACACACAGACAGACAGAGAGGAGCTCAGAGCTGCAGGTCGCAGTACAGTAAAATACATTTTTGACAAACAGCGCCCACATCATGTCACAGGTGAGCAAATGAGGTTAGAACCAAAGGCAGAACCAAGAGGAAGTTCTGCTGATGCGGGGTTTTGAGAGCTGTGTGTCAGTGTGTGGGGGCTGCTGCCGGTCTAGAGCGATTCCCAGAGGTGAGAAGCCAGTAGAGGGGGCTAGAGGGCGCACGAGCCACAGGTACGAGCTGCAGAGTAAGGCTGACATCCCAAGATGCTCCATCATTACATGAATAAGTGATCAGGGGCCCGTGCCAGGCGGCAGTCAGCCATGTCGCAGGGCGTGACCACGAGAATGATGGTGACAGAGCCGCCAGGGCACGGAGCCAGCGGCGGGCAATCAGCTGCTTGCATGTGGGACCCGGACCCAGATCGGGCCAGACAGGGTCAGACCGGGCCGTGGCGCCGTTACGGGGGGAGGCACACGTGTCCTGAGGAAGCCGGGCTGGGTCGCGTGGCGGAAGACTGCGGTGGTGCAGGCAGAATGCGGCGGCGCAAAGTGCCGGAGATCGCAGGACTAATGCGCTGTGGTATAAATTTCACACAATGCCGTTCATCATGCATCCATTCAGCCGCTATCGCTTTCAAACTGCTGTTTCACCGCGACGAGCCACCTGTCCATCAACTTAATATAGTGCCACTTAAGACGGCTTCAATTTTATGGATCATAAGGTTAAACCATGAATATTTTGCAGAACTGCGCTGTGGAAGGATTTTAATAATTGATGGTTACATTACAAAACCACCAACCACGTTTTGTTTTAAATGCATTTCCTAACACAGCTTGCTCGGTTAACCCTTTCAGAGGCAAGAAACCTGCAAGATGAAGCTAGGCCTGCATGTCTCTCTGTGCTGCGCCTGTATGCAGCAGATCAGAGCCCAGAAACCTGCAAGATGAAAACAGGCCTGCATGTCTCTCTGTGCTG